CTAAGTAATTTTGAGGGTTAAAAATATTTTTTAATACAAGTTTTTTGCTTTTGGTAGGTTTGTTTATGGCTTGTCTACAAAAAAAGCGAGGAAGGGTAAGAGTTTTTGATGAAATGCAACCTCCTGCGATTTAGAAATTACTTTCTTCAGCATAACTGTTTCTTTTTTTTGCTCTTTTTGGACTCATTTACAGTACGCAACCTATTCTGAAATATTCATTAATTTGCAGCTTCCAGTTAATTTATTTTTAGAACATCTACAAAACAGAAATGAATGCACTGAATGAGGAGTTGGTGGAGAAAACGCGACGCTTGGAACAACTGGAGGAACATCAGTAAGAGTTTTTGCCACTTAAAATTGCAGAAGCAGTTTTTGCATTTGCGTTTTGTAGAAGAAGAGAGGAGGAACGAACTCGGGACATACTCGCGCAGCTTGAAAGTGAACGCTTGGCACGACGCATTGCCGAAGAAAATTTATCTACAACGGACAAAGGTTATTCATTTCTTTTGCGTAGAAAGGAAATAGGATTGGATTAGTAGCTCATGATTTTTTATGGCCATAATCACTGCGATTTCAGAGAAGACGATGTTGAATGTTGAGGTGCGACAGCTCGTACAGCGTCATGAGAAAGATCTGGCAGCAAAAGATGCTGCTTTGCAAGTCATGTCGCAACGGGTTCGTTATCAGTGCCTTCTTTTATCTCTGCTGCTCGTATTTTTTTGCTCCAAATCGATGCTGCATGTTTGCTGCACTGTCGAAACCCAATCCTTTCTCAACGGAGTCATATTTCGAACTGCCATTGAATTTTTTCAAATGGAGCGGAGAATGTCGGGAAGCAAAAGGGAAGGTGAGGAGATGATGATGAGGTTTGATGGAAGACAGCAGGTAGAATGAGAAGTAGGCATGCCTGCTGAATCTCAGTGGTGTCAAGAGCTCCCTAATAATAGTCCTCAGTCCGACTATTGTTGGGGACAGGGCATTTTAAGGAGCAAGCTACCAAAGGAAGGAAATTAATATAGCGAAATTTAAAATAGTTTCAGTCAACCAATTGTTTATAAAGTTTTATTTTCGAAGATTAATTTTGAAAAAGAGTCCAACGATTTAGGAAGAAGAGCTGCAGAAATCGCTGCAAGCTGCCCAGACTGAATTGCATGCCCTATCGGAACGAGATTTGCTATTTTCACCGGAACAGTGCATTCGCGAACTGAAAAATCAGCTGGAGCACGAGAAAGTGATGAAAATAACGGTAAGTTTTTTATTCCTGACAAATTACAGTTGTATGTAGAAGATATTTCTTGTTAGCACTATGAGGTAGAAGAGACTGCAGTGGAATGGAAGCTAGAACATCGGCAGGGAGGGGACACTCCGTAGCATACGTTGTCAAGGTGCATTTGAAGAAAGCATTCTAAATAAAATGCAATGAAAGCTTGCAATATGCGAAAAATCTTCGATAACAGCAGAGAAGAATGGAATGTGTAGAACGACTACGCTATGAATATCAGAGAGATAATAATAAAAATTTTCGTTTTATTCACAGTGAAAGTGGACTGCATGTTTTTCCTACCGATGGCAGCACTGTGTTGTATTAACGTAAACATAATCTTCAGGCGATCAACAAACTGGAAGAAGTGATGGCTTATCGTCAGCCAAATGAGAGTTCCAAAAAA